GTGCTTGTTGGCCATTTGTATATCGTCTTTGGAGAAATGTCTGTTCAAGTCCTTCGCCCTTTTTTAATTGGGTTGTTTGGCTTTTGTTGTTAAGTTGTAGGAATTCTTTATATATTCTACATATTAACTCCTTATTAGATGATTTGCAAATATTTTCTGCCATTATGTGGGTTGTCTTTTTACTTTAGTAATGTCCTTTGATACACAGAAGTTTTTAATTTTGAAGAAGTCCAATTTATCTAGTTTTTCTTTTGTTGCCCGTGTTTTGGTATCATTTCCAAGAAATCGCTGCCAAATCCAGCATCATGAAGCTTTTCTCCTAAGTTTTCATCTAAGAGTTTTGTACTCTTCACTTTCATGTCTAGGCATGTGGTTCATTTTGACTTAATTTTTGTCTATGGTGCAAGATAAGGGTCTGACAGTCCTTTTGCATGTGGATGTCCAATTTTCTTAGCACCATTTTTTCCAAAAGACTGTCTTTTCCACATTGAATGGTCTTGACACCCTTGTCAGAAATCGTTTGAGCACACACATTAGAGCTTATCTGGGGGGCTCTCCACTCTATTTCATTGGTCTGTATGTTCTTCTTTATGTCAGTACCACAGTTTTTTGATTAATGCCGTTTTGTCGAGGTTAGAGTTTTAAATCAGAGGTCACAGCAATTTCAAAGAACTAGGGTAGGGATCAGCAAACTTTTTCTGTAAAGGGCCAGATAGCAAATATCTGGGGCTTCACAGGCCATGTGGTCTCTGTCATAATTACTCTACCCTGCTATTATAACACTAAAGTAGCCATAAACAAGACACACTCAAATGGTCGCAAGTGTGTTCCAATAAAATTTTATCTATAGTAACAGGTGGCAGGACAGATTTGCCCCAAAGGCAGCAGTTTGACACTCTGGGCTGGAGGCCACAGTTGGACCATTTTCAAAAGTCCAAAGGAAGGCAAGTGTGACCAGAATAAAGGTGAGAGAGGAGAAAGGTGAGATTGGAGAGATAAGTAAGAGCCAGATCACAGAAACCTATAAACCACAAGAGGGTTTGATTGTTCTCCCTCACCCATTCACTCACCAAACATCTATCAGGGGCCTACTGGGAGCCAGAGGCTGGGACTACATAGGAGTTAGGCTCAGTCCTCAACCTCAAGGGATTTCAATATAGGGAAGAGGTGTAAGCTAAGGAGTTTTAGTACAGATCAAATTTCCTTTCTGATTCATGACATATGCTCCATTCCATCACCTGAACCATGGGAGCTGCTCTGAGTTTACCCTACTGCTTTGGTTCAAGCCTTTATTAATTCTCTCCAGGATGATCACAAACAGTCCATTCAAACAGCCTCTGCCTGTAGCCTCACCGTCTTCCAAACTACCCTCCAAACTGCAGCATTAAACTCCTAAAATGTAATTATGATTGTACTCCCCACCTTCAAACTATATTGATGGCTTTCATCACTGTTAGAGTTAAGTCCAAATCCTGAGGATGACACAAAAGGCCCTGAATGACCAAGCTCTTCCCAACTTCTCAGCATCGTCTGCTCTCTCTCCCCTTGGTGCGAAGTGCTAACTGACAGCCTGGGACATCGACTCACACAAATAACACAAGAGCACGTTTGGCTCATGATTAAGTCATGGGTAACATCTACGTCAAAGAACATCTGATATGTGTGTGAATTCTTGTTGCTCGTGTTTCCATTGTAAAGTATAATTATGAATTGAGCAAGACTTAGTAATAAAAGAGCAAATTTGTATAGAGAGCCTAGCACTGCTAAGCCATTTAATCCTCACAACTCTCTTCTAAGGTAGTAGTGTCATTGTCTCCATTTTACAGATTAGGAAACTGAGGCACAGAAGGGTTAACCTCCCCAGAATTACACAGCTTGTATAAGTGAGGGCATCAATATTCAGACTCAGGAATTCTGGCTCTATAATCTGTGCTATTAAGCACATTAAGCTCCCTCACTAAACCAGGAAGATGTTATTTTAAAATACTGACTGCGTCACCTGGGTGGCTCAGTCTTTTGAACATCCGACTTCGGCTCAGGTCATGATCTCACGGTTTGTGGGCTCGAGTCCCGCATCAGGCTCTGTGCTGACAGCTCAGAGCCTGGAGCCTGCCTTGGACTCTGTGTCTCCCTCTCTCTCTGCTCCTCCCCCACTCACTCTCTGTCTCTCTCTCCTTCAAAAATAAATACACATTAAAAAATATATATTAAAATACCTACTGCAGGGGTGCCTGGCTGGTTCAGTCAGTAGAGCATGTAACTCTTGATATTGGCGTTGTGAGTTTGAGCCCCATGATGGGTGTAGAGATTACTTAAAAACAGAATCTTAAAAAAAATTAAAAGATAAAATAAAATAAAATAAAATAAAATAAAATAAAATAAAATAAAATAAAAAAATACTGAAGCTGTGCCCATAGTCTAAAAGCATGGTCTCTGGCTAGCAGCATTAGGTTCATCTGGAAGCTTATTAGAAGTGCAAATTCTCAGGCCTGACCCCCGACCCACTGAGTCAGAGTCTCTGGAGGTAGGGCCCAGGAATCTGAGTTTTAGCAGGCTCCCCAGGTGATTTTTAAGCATGACAAAGTTTGAGATTCATTGCTCTAAAACATTTATTCCTGTGCAGTAAAGGCCTTAATGGAGGTAAAGCTTAAGACAAACATGAGAATAATTTTGACAAAAGAAGTAGAAATCGAATTCTTTTTAATTTACAAAGCTTTCAAACTATGTCATAAAAAAACGATCCTACTACAGAACAATACAGGTTGTCAAAGGTCCTGAGAGGATGCTTGAAAGGATGAATAAAAGTACATGATAAACCTGAACTTCAAGCAATCAGGCCCAGGTCAAATCCACACACCTACTAACCTGCTGTGTGTCTTTCAGCAATTGCTTAACCAGAGCCTCAATTTTTTAACTGACAGGGTAAAATAGTAATCCCCTTGACCTATACCCCACGATGTTTGTGAAAATCAAGTGAGATAATGTATGTGACAATGCTTTGTATGGAAGGATAACATGGTTCATTTTCTGCTGCAACTCGTTACAATAGAATAGATGCATCTTCCCTGCTACTCAGGAAGTGGATAGGAGTTCGAGTCTTGCAGTGACTTAAGAGAATTCTCTTTAGTGTAGGTTGTAGGAGATACACAGCTGGAATGAGGGGTTGCTCTGGCCTTGACAAGACAGGAAAAGAGGGAAGTGTCCTCACTGAGAAAATGGGGCCAGAGCATTGGCAGATGGTGGTAGGAATACCATTATATATCTCTGAACTCATCGGTAGCTTTATAATTTCTCCTCCCCTAAATATTTCATTAAAACCTGTAATAGCTTAGGCCAATATTCAGTCCTGTGCATTCTTACGGCCTAGCATTTGCTATTATATGGGCTGTTTACAGTAGCTTCTGTTCTGATTGGTCAATGTTTGTGCCTCTCAGGTTGTTAAAATTTTAAATATCACCTCTGGTTATACTCCATAATAGAAAGAAATGTTATTTGAAGTTTATTTCAAACAGAAGCAATTCTCCCCTTTCTGAATGGTTTAATGGGTTCATCCTGGGCTTCACCAGGCCTGTCTATTCCTCTGAACTTTGATTCCATTGCATAATCCTCAACTTAATGACAAATAGTTTCAGCATGTTCATTCATCAAAACAACAAAATGTATATTTACTTATTCTGTTTCTAGCACATTTCTCTGGCTGAGGAAGACACAAGCTACCATTCTAGAAGGACTCTCATGCATGTGTGGGTAAGAATTTGATATCTAGGGTGGGTTTCTTTTATTCATTTTGCAAAGCTAGGATATCGCAGGCCACCACTCTCTTTTCTTTCCCCCTTCTTTTCTCCCATTGCTATTTTCTCCCTTCAACTAGGGACAGAATAGGTACACTTCCAATCTATTCATTTTTTTCCTTTTGGATTGTCTCTTGGATGAAAAGTGACTTTCAGATAAATGTGAATCACTTAAGATGGAGCTACTATTGGGAGAATTTAAAGGCCTCTCATAAGAAAACAAAACCTATTAATTATATTCCTTACTCGAACTGACTTTAAACCATGTAATAGATTCCTGTATCTTACAATATTCACCTCGAAATGGTAGGTGGTAGGGACACCAGTTATTTTTCAAGCATGCATAATTTTTTTTTTAATTTTTTTTTTCAATGTTTATTTATTTTTGGGACAGAGAGAGACAGAGCATGAACGGGGGAGGGGCAGAGAGAGAGGGAGACACAGAATCGGAAACAGGCTCCAGGCTCTGAGCCATCCGCCCAGAGCCTGACGCGGGGCTCGAACTCACGGACCGCGAGATCGTGACCTGGCTGAAGTCGGACGCTTAACCGACTGCGCCACCCAGGCGCCCCGCATGCATAATTTTTAATTGAAGGTGAGATATTCAAAGTGACCAGTAGCTATACTGGTTGAGGCATGACATGGACACTTAATCCCCAAAATTATAACACTTAAAGATTTCTGGCTCTGCTGAATGTGACCCATGCAGTGTAAGGAGCAGCCCAACATTCTCTCTCACTTGGGGTGACTTAGCTTCCCACATCTAGAACCTGTTTAACAGAAACCCCAAATTCTAGAGGTAGTCTGCTAAAGCAGGTACAACCAGGTCAGGGAAAGTGACTGATTTTCTTTTCAGGTGCTCTACATGAATCATGTACTGGGTTAAGTCCCTTCATTCCACCAGCATCCCCCAATCCTTTTCCCCCGAAAAGCAAAAAGCCTAGAGGATTTAAGGCCTTGTTACTCAAGGCATGGTCCACGAACCAGCAGATCTGAGGTTGCCTGCAAGCCTGCAGAAATGCAGGGTCTCAGGCCCAAACCAGACCCACAGAACTCTGCTTTTTAACTAAATGTCCAGGTGATTCATATTCACGTTAAAGTATGAGAAGTACTGGTTTATGTGATGCATTTGTTAAAGCCCATACCAAAATAGAACCAAGATTCTCTACTTAGTTTGAACACTTGAAAAATTAAAAACAGATGACTCACTTCACTTTTGATGTGTGATGCTCGAAGGAAAGCAGCCCGAGCCTTGGTAGAGAGGAAGTGGTGATACTGAGAAGACTTCTCTCCTTACAGGTTCTCCCTTAGACACTGCAGCTCTTTAAAGTTCCAGGACCTTTCCTTTGCCAGTCCTCAGGAGGTAAGAGAAAGAATCAGAGAGGAAATGGAACAGCTCCTCAGCCAGGTCCTGCAACAACCAGGAAGACGGAGGCTTTCCAGAAAAACTAGCCTTGAGGAAATGTCCAGGGTAAAATGAACGGTTCTCATACCTCCTTGAGTTCCTTTCTTCTCCACCATCAGCTAGTTATTACCCACATTTCTTTCTCGACCACTGGGATTCAAACTGACGACCTAATGCCTCCAATCAGCCTGGGATCCATTTCCAGCGTTCCTGGCAAGAGGATGGGAAAGGGAGAAAAATGCACGAGTCAGAAAGATATTTTTATCTTTCTCTTTGCACGACAGAATCCTGACAACAGTATCTCTGACACAAGCAACAACTTGAGGAAGGGTCAAAACCAATCCTAGCAAATAGTTTTGCTCTGTGTAAACTTCCTGTCTTTTGCCAGCTCTGACGAAATCGGGGGGTCTCCTCTCATAGGCCCTGCCTTCTGGCAAAAAAGTACAAGCAGGAAGACAACAGATTTGAAAGGAAGTGAAAGAAAACAAAGCAAAGTGTTAGGTTTCAGGGCAAAGACCCACCAGAGATCCGAAGAGGAGACAGAGGCTATATTTAGAACACGCTAGCCTGCTAATGTTCTCCTTTTCTAAGCCAGAAATAGAATAGGAAGGTAAGACCATATTAGATAGGCATTTTGTATTCTGAAAACATGATGATGTCAAGTGAAATAATAGGACATTTGCACAGTTGACCATTTTGCTGTGCTGTAAGCATGGCAAAGCAGAGGTATCTTGTCTGGAATATAATTAAGCAAAGCACGTGTGCATTATACTAGTAATGCGATTGTATACGGGCAAGGCCTAAAGGTAAAAAGTAGTGCAAAATTACAAACTTCCTCATCAATGGTACGTTTAAAAGAAATGCTGATAAATCCACAGACATGGCTGAAATTTTATTGCAAGGTTTATTCTAAACCAAATAGAGCTAACTTTGCAAATACAATTTGAAGGATAATTTAAATACATGTTAAAAATAAGTAATGATGGGGCGCCTGGGTGGCACAGTCGGTTAATCGTCCGACTTCAGCCAGGTCACGATCTCGCGGTCCGTGAGTTCGAGCCCCGCGTCAGACTCTGGGCTGATGGCTCGGAGCCTGGAGCCTGTTTCCGATTCTGTGTCTCCCTCTCTCTCTGCCCCTCCCCCGTTCATGCTCTGTCTCTCTCTGTCCCAAAAATAAATAAACGTTGAAAAAAAAATTAAAATAAATAAATAAATAAATAAAATAAAAAAATAAGTAATGATGATTCTAAAAATCAGCTAGGCACTGTTGGGGAAAAAAAATGGAATGTAAGACATGGTCCCTGTACTCCAGGAGCTGACATCAAGTTTGTGTAGAAAAGACTAACACACATGACCTATAACAGCCAAGCTGGCTGAATTCCATATTGGTTCAGGTGGTATTGAGGGGGAGAAGAGACAACCCAGCATAGACTGTGGACCCTGGATCCTCACTTCCCACTGATACAGACCTCTGGTCAACTTGGCTAAGGTGACCCAGTGACCTCTTAGCAAGGCTCAGAGTAACTGGACTCAAGCTCTCATGATTTCCCCTTATTACAGAGCAATAACCATTAGATAAATCCTTGCTTAAGAAAGAAGTCACTGAAGCTTCTTTTCCACTGAGGCAGATCTAAGTGATCCCAACTTAGGAAATTCATATGGCTTTTTTGACAAAAGGGAACACAAATTTTCATTTTAAAGTTTTCTACCATGTTTCATGTAATGTAATTTTATGTTATTAAATATACTATGAAGACAATAGTAATTCAATAAGGAAAGGAGAAAAAGAAAAGGAAGGAAGGTAGCAAGGAAGAGAGAGGTCAAAAGAGGAAGGGAGGGAGGAAAGAAGGAAAGAAGGAAAGAAATTAGCATCAAGTTGTTTACCAGAAAGGATATGGTTAAATAAAATGTAGCGCAGGCATACAATGGAGTATTCAACAGTTTAAAAGAATGAGGTAGAAATATATGTATTGTCTTGACAAAGAAAGACCTCCAAAATAAATTAATTGTAAAAAGCAAATTGCTAATTAACACAAGACATACAAAATGTTAAAACACATGCACATCCTCACAAAACAAAATTACATGTTTTTATAGGTACCCATATAAAAAAACTTATATGGGTTTGTTTTTTTTTAATGTTTATTTTTGAGAGAGAGAGACAGAGTGCGAGCAAGGGAGGGGCAAAGAGAGAGAGGGAGACACAGAATCCGAAGCAGACTCCAGGCTCTGAGCTTGTTGCACAGAGCCTGATGTGGAGTTCCAACCCACAAACCGTGAGACCTGAGCCGAAGTCTGGCGTTTAACTGACTGAGCCACCCAGGCACGCTTATGTGGGTTTTTTATTAAAAAAAAACAAAAACAAAAACAAAAAACAAAAACAAAAAAACAACTTCTAGAGAATCATGACCCAAAATGGCAGCAATCTCTGGGCAGTATGGGATTAGGAGGTGGGGATGCTTTGTTGACAACATACATCTCTGTTGTTTAATGTGTATTCATACTTTCCTATTTCTCTTAGAGTAAAAGCCAAAGACCTTTACAATCTGTATCTCCCACCCCTACTTTTCTGATCTCATTTTCCCTTTGCTAGCTGTAATATAGCCAGACCTATCTCCTTGCTGTACCTCAAATACACATACACTGACCCATCTCAGAGTCTTTGCATTACCTGTTCCCTTTGCCCAGGATGCTCTTCCCCTATTTATATATATATGGCTCATTCCTTCATTCCCTTCAAGTTTTTCTTCAAATGGTAACTTCTCAATTAGGCCTGCCCTGACCTCCTAACTTAAAATTGCAATTCCTTTTTTTTTTTCTTTAATTTATTTTGAAAAAGAGAGAGAATCTCAAGAAGGTTCCACACTGTCAGCAAGGAGCCTGATATAGGGCTCAATTTTATGAACCATGAGATCATGACCTGAGCCGAAATCAAGAGTCAGTCAGAAGCTTAACTGACTGAGCCACTCAGGCACCCCTACTAACATTCTTGATCTGCCTCATCTTATTTTTGATGATAGCACTTACCACCTTTTAACATGTAATTTCCCTATTAATTATGTTTGCTTTTCTCCTTCCACTAGCATGCAAGCTCTATGAGGGCATGGATTTTTATTTGCTTTGTTCATAAAAAAAATCCTTAGTCCCCAGAATTGTGCCAAGTATACCACTGGACAGAGGCTTGATAAAGTGTACTTAATAAAGTCACAAATTTTCACAAGAATATATTCATGTATTATTTGTATATGCTTAAGAATCAAAGATAAACACCAATCTCAAACAAAGAAACCAACTTCTAAAAACTTAGAATAAAATGCCTGAGGCCCTCCTGGGTTCTGTGGAATAAGATTTGAAAATCGCTGGCTCCAAGCTAAATAAGATAGAACACAGGAGACAGAAACTTACTGAATGGAAGTCCTTCCATTGACTTACCACACTATCTAACTATGTGTATTATTTTGCAGTCAACTAGGAGTAAACTGACCATTCCTGGAACCTCTGTGAAATCACCAGCTATTTCTTTACGGAGACAGAGGGTAAGTATTTCTTATAAGGGCAACACTGTGCCAAAGGTGACAAGTTGTGGCAAAAATCATGTTTATTAATTCTTCATTTCTTTCAAAAAGTGTATAAGAATGTAGGTGCAATTTAATCCCTAATCTTCTTTAAGCAGGTTGACCGAAGTCCTTAGAACTGGAAAGAGGGAAAGGTTGAAAGCAGCCAGCACCATCCCTGCTTCAAAGAACAGAAGTCTTTTACATACACAGGTGATTCTTATCAGAATCAGTAGCCTGGTGGTGGAGAGGAATCCGCTCCAAGTTACCAAGGGACGGAAGTAAGGAAGGCGGTCCCAGATAAATACTTTGCCAGTCCTATTTTTTCTTGTCTTTAATCATTTCTCAGGGGTCTGAGAGGCAGTAACAGAGACCACTTCTTAGCTTAGCCATTGGAAATTAGGAAAGGGCCTTTTCTAGTATCCCAAACTTTTTGTTTTCTAGCTACTGGTTTGTAATGGAGTCTTCAGAATTCTGTAGAATGAATCCAGAGAAATTTGTGATAATCTATCCCTATGTTCCAGGGTATGGAACAGTTGCTCCAAATTTCCTTTAAGGCTTACAAGTAAACCAAGACTTAGCAACTGTTTATTAAGAGTCAAAAATTCTACGTTCCATATCTTTATTATCAAGCCTCAAAATGATTATTTACAAGTTCCTCAGAACTTACAGCTTTGGTTTCTCATTTTGTCAATTATAAGCTTCTGAGAGTTAAGGACCTCATTTGGGGCTTTTGTAGTCTAACAGCATGATTCTGTGCACACAGTAATTATTTAACTAAGGCTTTATAATCAGCATTATAAAACAAATGACAATATAAACTGAGCCTATAAACATCACCGAAAATAAAATCATACTTGGGGCACCTGGGTGGCTCAGTCGGTTAAGTGTCCAACTACAGCTCAGGTCATGATCTTGCGGTTGGTGAGTTCAAGTCCCGCATCGGGTTCTGTGCTGACCGCTCGGAGCCTGGAGCCTGCTTCGGATTCTGTGTCTCCCTCTCTCTCTGTCCCTCCTCTACTTGTCCAAGCGCTCTCTCTCTCTCTCTCTCTCTCTCTCTCTCTCTATCTCTCTCTCTAAAATAAATATATAAACATTAGAAAAAATAAAATTACACTTGTAGCAGAATCTCAAAATGCCAAATCTGCCTCGGTGGCTGCTTCCAAATTTTAAAAGCCAAACAGCACACTAGAAAATTAGTAACTATGACCAATTGTCCTTGTTAACTCTTCATACTTGTTATGTACTGAACTGGTGACACAAGAAGCTCTAAGAGAGGAAAGCTCACATCAAAGGAAGTATTTTTATTTGGCAGACTGACCCCACCTCTCTTTATTGCCTGGTACATTTGTGCTGTTAATAAACATTCAGAATCTGAGAATTCGAGGTACAATAAAGTTTATGATTGGTGTCTAGATCAGTTCCCTAGAGAAGAGAGACTCTCTAGATGGCAACACTGCCTGGTTCTTCCTTTTCTTCACAAGGCTGAAGATCTAGACATGAAATATAGTACATTTTATATATATTTTACATAATCATGCATTTGTGTGTTTGTATAGATCTGCTGTGGCAGAGGAGGCAAGGGAAAGTGGCATAAGGGAAGGAGAGTTTGAAACAGCAAAAATTAGAAACAATGTGCCCCACAAGAGGGGAACGCAGCATAAACTATAGTATATGATATCACAATCAACAAAAGTTAACAAGTAGATGGTCTACATTAACGCATGGCATATGAACTGTCTGGGGAAGAAAACCTTTTGCTTCCCTCTAAGCTATAGTTCCTGGGGACCTGCAAACT